CAAAAAAATGAGTTCGTGTGTCACTCTGACACCCGTGTTATAGGTTCGCCATCACAGCGCTATACACTGCCTACATGTCATCCCAGGCCTTTCATTCTGTCGGCCCCTAGTTAGGGTAGGGTGTCTAAGGGACCCATCTTTGAATGAGTCCAGGATTGCATAGGGGAGCAAGAATCTCTGTATCTTATTGAAACATGTGATTTGTAAGAAGGGAGAGGATGAGGGTTCAGCAAATACCATGAGAAGATCTGGGACTCCTTGGAAAGGAGAGCATTTTATAGAGTGAAGGGATCTATCTGAGGCAAGAAGGAAGTGAGGCCTGGTATGAAGGGTAGATTCAGTAAAGACACAGGATGGTGGACACACACTGTTGGGAGCAGCGGTAGCGTTGGAGCTTTTAATCAGGATGCCCAGGGTGTAGTTTGCAATAGCCATGTTTCTCAGTGCAACCTGAGGGTCAAAATTTCTAAATTCACTAAACATAGGCAGCTGCCAGACAGTCTCCTTCTTGTCCAGGTCCACGTAGAACTCCTCATCTCCATCAAATTCATGGGTGTACTGGCCTGAGGAACCGTAGTAGTGGTAGACATTTATGCCATAGGCCCCAACGTGGTCAGCTGATGAGTGAGGTGGGAGCAGGGAGGTGCAAAACACAGGAGAGAAAGGATTTCGTTAAACAAAGTGGCAAGAAACGGACATGCAAACATTGTGGGCTATACTTTCAGCACAGCCCACACACAATTCCCAGCGCCTGCTCCCTCCCCTGGCTTTCCTGTTAGAATCCAGCTGCCTCTCCACTCCTGCGGTTGCTCCTGTCACAGGAACAGAATTCCACAGGCCTGTTTACTGCTATTCCTGGCCTGCCTAGCTCAGCGCCTGGCACCTCAGATAAATACTGAAATGGGCAGAACAAGGAATTAATGAATGAACATGGCCTTAGCTTTCTTTCCCAGGGATTCAGTTTACCTCTCTCTGCTTCATAAGTTTTCTCTCTCAATTTCTTCATCGGTTAATAACACATTCATTGTGGGTCCTCTCCCCTCAGGACTGGCTCAGAATAGAACATGTGCTATACAAATTTTCCTTCCTCCTTTTATTTTTTTTAACCGACATAAGCACACCTGATATCATTTTTAAAAAATTGCCTCTATTTTAGGGACTAAGAAAGAGTAGGATAAGGGCAGTGACAATATCACAAAACACATAAAAAGTAAACAATGCTTCTAAGGTCTCTGTTTTTTTTTGGTTTTTGTTGTTTTGATAATCCTCACCTGAGGATATTTTTTCCATTGATTTTTTTTTTAAGACAGAGTGGGAGGGAGGGAGGTGGGAGAAAGATAGAGAGAGAGAAACCTCTCAGACCAATTGGTTGCCTCTCGCAGGTGGCTCTGGGGATTGAACCTACAACTCAGATACCTGCCCTTGACCAAGAATCAAACTGATGACCTTTCCATGGGCATGTCAACACTCTAACCACTGAGCAACAAGCCAGGGCTAAGGTCTCTGCTTTGTAACAAGGTGGTCCTCAGAGGAGAGCACCTGGTTTCCTCTGAAATGAAACTGAAACCTTCATTAGACTTTGGATTTTGTCATTTCCCACCGTCTTCTTTTCTTGAAGGACGTTACTACTAAGCCTCTCCTTTTTCTGACTCAACACTTACCTTGTAAAGGACTCAACGAAAACTCTGGTCTTTCCCTCGAATGGACAGTGGACTTGGTGTGACGCCAAAGCAGAAGGCAACCAACACAGCTAACTGCCCAGATGAGCGTAACTGGACGTGTCTGAGCCTTTTACCACTTCTTCTTCCCTCCATTCCTATTTCCTGAGTATCAACAAGGTTTCAGACATTGCGAGGGGCAAGGAGTAAAATCCTGCCAGGGAGGAGCTTAATGAATAGGGGAGTCCGGTGTGTAAGGAGCCAATAGGTGTTCTGTGCTGGGTCCTCCAGAAATACCTCACCTGCCCATCAAACCAGATGTCACCCTTTCATGCTCCTTGGTCTTTACAAGGGTCTGTTTTCCTCCATCAAATTATCTTCTAGGATTTCCTGGACACCTCCAGTTCATTCTTGAAGTTTCTGCTTAGTTACCAACTTCTTAGCTAAGTCCCCTCATTAAGCATAGTTTTGACCCCATTATGATCTCCAGCCCCTCCATGCAAATGTCTGCTTTGTAAGTTTATCTAGTCCTCATCCCCACTCAGCATGATCCCCTTGGCTGGCCACTCAAAACCTCTTTGTCCTTGTAATGAACCTTCTTGATTCCATTACAAACATGAATATATGTGATTATCCTTTTCATCTGCACGGGTCCTGGCTGCACGCTGCTGCTGAGGGACCTCACTGCGCCAGCTGGAACTACTCACTTTCAGTTACAGCCTCGCTGGGCCCACTGTCCTGCACAGCAGTGTCCCTGCACTGGGCACCATGTTGTCCCCATCGCTAATCTGAGCTCCCTCCAGCGGCAGATGGCACATCTCTTCATCTGAGTCCCAGCACTGAGCTCCTGGTGCGCCAACTGTGTAGCAAATGTCAACACTGTTCTCCAGGATGACAGAGATTTGGGGAAGACTGACAGACAAGAAGGTAGCAGCATCCTATGAGTGTTAGACTCAGTGGTGATGGCTGCATTATGACTCCTGAGCCCTAAGCACTGTTGTTAGGTGGGGCCTTTATTTTTCCATAAAAATATTAAAAAATCATATTTTATGACCATGTTGCTACAAAGGCAAATATAATCCAGGCTAAATTAAAATAGTTTCTTCTACCCTAAAAGTTCATTTTTTCTTCTAATTTTAAAAGAAAGTAAAACATTTTCATGGGGCCCTATAGGCATTGCAGGCCTTGACCCTGTGCCCACTGTGGGGGGGTACGTCGAGCTGGACCAGGGCACTCTGGAGTGACATTGAGAAAAGGGAACTTGGACGTGCTCTGGAGAAGCAGGCAAAACTTTCTTACCAAACCAAGAAAGCCTGGGGGAAGCCATGGTTAATAAAGTCGCTGAAGATCAGGGTAACCTCCAGTTCACTTCCCCTTTGAACTACAGTGCTTGGCTTTTCTACTTTGCTTTCACAGACGCACTCTTCATGCCAATAAAACAGCAGGAGAAGGAGTCTGAGATGGATCTAAAGAAAGGAGGGTAAAGGAATGATGAGAATGGTGAACGTGAGCAACAGAAGGTGGAGGGGCCCAGG